TAACTGTGGGTGGTTTCTAAACAACATTATGAGAGGGACGATGATCACAGTGAATGCGGTATTCCATTCTCTGTTGGTGGCCTGTTGATTGGCTTACTCGTGACTCAAAATGGATTTGAACTGGCGAACCTCACCGTATACTGTAAACATTTGCCTTATCCTTGGAGATTGTGGCTTCCAACTTTCCGTACTTTCCAGTCGTTGTCCCTGATCCACTAACTCACAGTGTAAAAGACACAATTTCTTGTTAGATTTTACTGAAGCAACAATCAACTCAAATTTTCGTCACGGACAACATCCTCCAGTTTGCACCAGCACTGTTTCATTTCATTTGCCTCCAAAATGTCACAAATCATACATTGCCACCTTATTATTCATAGTCAAAAAATTAGGCAGTTTTTTTGGGGAGACTAAGAGATGCCCACTCAGAGAGCCAAAGAGGGAAATCCGTAGCTACTGTGTGAAAATTCTTGTTTATGGAGAGAACAGGACTGGCGGGTATGATTTATATTATTATTAAAGCCATCAAACCTGGTTGAAAATATCATTTGGAGGTCTGTGAAGCCAGCCAAACACATTGCTGGAATGAATCTGAGACAATTTTTTGTTCTTCTCAACCAGAAATAACGTTCTCAACTCTTATATGACTATCTAACTTGCTACACATGTGCTCCAGCCACACAGCTGGTTAACTCTTTAACCCTGACTTGCTAGTCAGATTGTTTTACCAGTGACGAAGAAATAGAATTCTTAAAGCTGTACATAGGTGGATTTAGGTTAATTTGGTATTGAGAGAATAAAGTGATATATAACCATAGCATAATGCAGTCCCTGTGCTATTGTTCCTCCGAACACCCTTTTTCCGCGATTGCCCCCTATGATCCCCGGCATTGGAGCTAGAAAAGTTGGACAAAAATGGTTGGTCAATCCAACCTAAATCTATTTCACGAACTCCTTGAATCCCCTGTGAAAGGAAATCGTAAACAGTATATGTTGCCTTGATTCTGCGGTCGGGCTTAGCTAGTCAGGATGCCAGTACTCCTAAAAGACTACAGAGTAGGATGCGGTGAGCAATTAGGAGGGTTAATCATAAAGTCTTTTCGATGACACTACTAGATAGGTCATATTAAGTCAACGCAGGAAACAAATACAACACTGTCAACCCACTGGAAAGAAACAGTAACAAAGAGGCTTTTCTAAGATATCCTGCCAGATATGTTTCCTAAAACCCGTTTTGATTACTTGGTCGAACAGCTGGGATGGACATAGATGAAACAAAACTTGCTTTGTGAAGATTGTGATCAACAGTTAAACTGATAGATAACTATTCAGTATTTTCTTCTCAAACTCCAGTTCTATTAAAAACACTCTGTTTTTCTGTTTAAAATACAACTTGCCATGTTTCATTTCAGTACACGCCTTACTCTTTCATGTCTTTGTTATTAACTGGTATGGATTATAAGTTACTTCATGAGATAAGGAAAGTTAGTTAGCAGACATAACATTTTGTGTCCCCGAACAATATGGCTAGCGCAATAAGTAAGTAAGTAATTGCAAACGTTAGATTTCAAAGAAGCGTTTAACAAATTGCCTCCGCTTTCGGGCACAGAACACCTCAAATCCACTGACAATTTCCTCATATGAGTCGGAGAATTCATTGCCAAGAACAGATAGAGTTTAATGACCAACTTCAACTGAAACAACCGTTTATTTTAGGCTTCAGGAATTCAAGACACTGGACGTAGACTCTCGTTTGCACTTTCTGGCGTTGGTACCATTTCGGTAACATATGTGACCTCTAGTTTCGCCAGTGACTTGTTAGCCATTCTGTAAGCGTTTTTGTTGAATTGCGAACTGTAAAATTGCATCTGAACATCTAAAGAAGCCATTTACGAATGGTGGAAAGAATTCATAGGATAAATACAAGTATGGAGACGTGGTATGACCGATTTAGCATACTAGGGATGACTGAAACCACAAAATCTAATTTCGGTATTATTCGGTTGATAGACTGAAAACGTAATCATCTTACGAAGGGTTTTCATGACAGTGAACCTGATCTGTTTCCTTTTCTAATTCTTGTCAAGCTGGAACAACTCAAAGGGCATGGAAAGAGATTAAATAAACCAAATCACTGCGGAAAAGTACCTATTTCGTGAATCGTCCGCTCGGGAGGTCTGGCTTCCCAGTCTCTGAATCTAATTCAACGATTGCTTACATATTTAATACCCGCTGTTCCAGCTGTCTGGAAATACTGCCCTCGCTTTTAGCGCTACGTTTTTAGTAGCATCTTCCTCACTCGATCAAATCTGCTAGGTGACTGCCTTGAAACTGAATGACAAAACTTTTTTCTTACACTTTATCCGTTCTTGTTCTTATTCTATTGGGCAGGTACCATGTTGCTATTTCAATTACTGCTGTTTAATCACAATTAATAATAATTGGTAACATGACTGTTGAGTCTAGTGTCAAGAAGAGCATATTACGCCGCATTCGGCAGTGACCAGAGCTTCAGCTGGGGGGAGGGAATGACTCGATAGCACAAAATAGTATATTGGTCCTTAAGACCAGAGTACATGCACCCTGCTCTGATAAAATGCCAATGTCGCCACAGTCCACTACGGGAACTCCATCGGGTGAATCCAACGGACATTGTGCCACACCTGTTTCCACGGGAAGCCAGTGTGTCACACATAGTTGGACAAAAAGAAACGCTCAAGACATCATAGGGCCTTGAGGGAGTTTTCCGGGAAAAGGATCGACTGCAGGCGTGTGATGAGATTGTTTCTAAAGGTGATCCAGCACTTAAATGCAATTTAGCAAGAGGTTGGGGCACTGACGTGATGACAAAGGAACGCACAAGTCATGTTACGAGTTCATGCGAAACAACCCGTGTCGATGGTTTTGGTACATATGCCCATTCTGTTACCCTGACACAGTTTCATGCAGTGTTCCTCTGAAAACTGTAATCAAGACACTCCAGCCCAACCGACTAGGGGTATAAATCCACAGAAACCAAAGGTATCTAGAATCACATCCGGGAAACATCAGACTGGTATAAAACCTGGAGACATGGTGGTAGAGACAAAAGGGAGTTCCAGAATTGCAAATCGAACACTTGCACCCTCCGGCAAGCATGAAAAAGTTGCAGAATAATTACACCTGGAAGCAGTCTGAGGTTACAGCCCTTCGAAAGGAGACTAGCAGCCAAGGACTAAACCTAGGCCTGAGATATGCCAATCAAACTATTTATAAATAATAATATCTTCAAGCATAGCGGTTGGCAAAATGCCATGAGTTACAAACCATTGCACTACTCCCAGTTGTATCAAAGGCAGTGGAAAGTCTGAATGATTGTCAGATCAGACATCACCTTGACATGAGTAACATACACCATGAAGGGCAAAATGGTTTCGGGAGAGGCAGATCCTGTGAGGCAAATTTATTACCAGCTTGGAATGGTTAGGCGCCATGCTGGAATATGAATTTTCCAGTCGACATTATCTTATCCGACTTCGCGAAGGTATCTGACACAGTTTAGCACGACCTTCTACGCAAGATAAGTCAGAAGGGTGTTGGTGACCCCTTTCTCTCGCAGAAGGAGATTCTGCATCAAAATCGATCGTGTCTGATCACCATGGTGCAGTTTGACATCAGGAATATTGCAGAGTTCTACCCTAGATCCACCGGTGTTTTTGTCTTTCATCAGTGACCTGCCATGGCTGGTAGTGTGCGGCAGGCAGACCTAAGAGTTGTCGGCGGGGGGCTGGGCACTGGTCAGTGGTATGAGTTCCATCCAGAAAAACTGCAAGGTAGTGCAACTCCGCACCCATAGGCTGCGGAATATGAGTTACTCCTCAAGAAAAGATAACTTGTCATGTGTAACTTTACATCACTACTTAGATCTAGTTCTAGTAGAAAAAATGTACCCTAGAGTGAATTACATGAGTGAAGCAGTGGGGCATATGTGGTCATGCACTTTGCACACAGATATGCGTGCTCATATCTTGGTTTTTCCGAGGCTGTACATATGTAGGAACACTCCTTGAAGTGCGCAATATCATTTCCCCCTGTTTCTCTGAAAGGAAACTAATCTTTTGGAAAAAGTTCAAAGACGGAAGACAAAAGGAGCACTGGGTTTCCGAAACAAACTACAGTATGAATGTCTGAAGAAGTTATACCTTTCCACACTTAGCTACTGTCAACTTAGAGGTGACTTGATTACTGCCCATAAGACTAAGAATAACCAGAATGACCCAAACATAGGAATCCTGCCACTAAGTAGGTGTAGGCTCCATCGTAGCAATCCACGAAGGATAGCGCACGAGAGTCTTGTCTCTCATGCGCTCCTATTTCCTTTCACTATGAGTTTTCCTCCTCAGGAACTCTTTGCCAGTAGATGTGACTGCTCCACCATCTGCGGGAATCTGTAAGCGATGGCTGGATAACCACGTAGCAACATAAGGACTACGTCCAAACGGTCTATTCCCTTAAAATTCACACACACTATTAGTGGGTAAACACCTAAACTCGTCTTTTACTATTTCCCACTATCCTTAGTCTTAATATTCTGACCAATCTCTCTATTCACTTATGTTGTCATACATACATACATATATATATCAATTTCAAATATTTTTATGTTTTGTATGTTTTCTTTTTTTGTCTATATAACCTACACTGACTACATCTGTTATTGTCATCTTTCTTCTTTTGACACCAGGTAAAAGGATCAACTCTATTCACAGTAGCAACAAGTTCTTAATACACTGCATACTACAAACTTAAAATAATTAATCCTAACGCCTCTCCTTTTGGAGTCAATCAAAGCTACGAAAGTTGAGTGGCAAGACGAACTGCGCAGAAGTTTACCGGGTACCAGAGAACCTAATCTTAAAACCAAGAAGCGATCATAAAGAAATCAATTTGTTTTACACTAGCCCGTAAAAATGATATTGGACATTAAGGAGTCATTCAATCTTGAAAATAACGGTTATATGGAGTATTTCCGCGTCTTCAGTAGATTGTTTAAAGAGAGAAGTAGGTGAGCAGAGTTAATTAACACTAATGGATCAGGTCTTATAGCCTGAAATGAAATGACATGTGTTTCGTGATTGTCATGACAACAAAAGCGCGTGATTCGTATACATTTTCTCATGTCCCATCAAGGAGCTGCTTTACAAAACTACAATAATGAACTTGTAAAATGTATGGCATACATCTTAAAGTGTATTAAATTTCTAGGTTTTGAGGAGCTTTGCAAAAGACGAGAAGAATTACAACGTCAAATTCAACAAGATGAAACTGAACGCGCTAAGCTCCAAAGGGAAATAAATGTTCTGAGTGATAAGCTTAACAGGGTCAATGAAGCACTTCAGAAGAAACTGGCAACAAGAAATGAATATGATAGGACTATTGCAGAGTCAGAAGCAGCTTACATGAAGGTATGTGTTAGCATCTACTGTTGTAACTTTATCTCATAGATCCTTGAGAGTTCCCAAACTCTCCTGACTGTTTTAAAACGAGAAGGTCAGAATATTGTTCAGAAGGCAACAGCTAAAAATGTTCCTTTGTAATAATAAACTCAGTATATGTTTATTAATTGTAAATACCTGTATTATTGACTATTAAAGCTGCTCTTGTGCTTTTCATTTAAAGTCAATATAATTTGTAAGCATCTAATAACCATAATAATATAAACTATACAATCAGTAAAAACTGAGAAGTTCTTGAAGGAGACCTATTAAATAGCCTGAATTTTAGAGTCAATCAATGATCGTTGTAAGATTTTGTATTTCTTGAAGATATAAGTCTATAAATGGTGTTATGTTAGTATTCTGTTTTGTATCAAGGTTAAACCAGTGTGCATATAACGTATTAGGTATTTTAGGAGTGCATTCATGTTTAAACTCTGCTTTTCAAGTATACTAATGCTACTTTTATACGACTAGTCTTCACTATTTCATTGTGCGTTACCTATTTTTTTCCATAGGGGCGAAGAATTGGTACTGTCGGCTAATTAAAGTTTGGTTTAGTTTATATTTATCGTTGTTTGAATTATTTCATTACACACTACAGTTAGCAAAACTGTATATCCAAGTGCCTTTCGTAGTGTTTGTACGGTACTACATTCTTATGTGTCGAAGGTGAAAAGGGTCAGATTTCAGATTTATTGGTTGAGGATAGAAGGCTTGGAGCCTATGTTAATCCTTTTCTAGTAAATTTCTGTGGTTGTCTAAACCCTTCTTGAACGAATCAGTTGAGGTTGCAGACACCACTTCTTCTGGGAGTCGGTTCCAAGAGTTTATGACTCGGTGTGAGGACCAGTATTCGTTTTGACAAATTCCTCATCAGATTCTACAGTTATCCATCAATAATAGTTAGATATTAATTGTTGTTTGACTATGTTAATTTGCTTTTTAGTAAACGTAACATTGGATCATTAACATTAAAATACCAAGAGGTATGTGTGCGTCGGTGGCACTGCGGTAAAATACGCAGTTTGTTTGGGGTTCAATTCCCTGCCACCGCCACACTCCTCCTTTACTTTACTAAACCAGTAATAAGACTGGTAAAGAGGGAAGGTTGTGGGGCATGAGGCTAGCAATCCCATCCCGTAAAAATAACAAATTCCACTGCTACGGAAACTTCAAGCCTCTAGCTTGAAGGTGCCCTATATTCCAGTGGGAACGTAAAGGAATAAAAAAAATATGTGAATAGATTGTTAGTAGATTATAGTTCAAAACAGTATGTGTGTGTCCGTGGTAATGTGCATATATATAACACTAAACTAGCATTAGGTAATATTAAGCAGGGAATTAACGCAACAACTAAAGGCACTAAAAGGACAATAACTTAGAAGATACCTAGGGGGGGGGGGGGAGAAATCATCAAACATTTACAATTAAGTAATGATGACCAAGTTAAGGAAGGTGTCTGTGCAGATTTTTTCTGAAGATGGATTTTGACAGCTTCAGATACATGTAGAAGATGAACTTGACAGACAAAATTAAGATTAGTCGAAATACAACAGAGAACTTTCATTGCCTTGTTGACACCAAATGTATTCTGTTTCTTCATGGTATGCCAAAACATTTACGAATACACCTTGTTTGTCTCTCGCATAACTACCATGCACGATGATGTTCGAAAGAGCGACATGATTCTAACATGTACAGCTACAGAATAGATTACTATTTTAATATTTATTTTGAATTATTGCAACACTTTATTTCCACAAACTTGACAAGATTAAAATTCTTTCAGCTTTGTGTATGTCGTCAAAGTAGGTGTACTTACAAGTACTTATATGTTAACTAGGAGGTTGAAGTTTTTAGAAAGGGATGGTTTGCAGAATACTTCGTGAATTATAACTGGCTGACTAACGTTTTGAACTAAAGCTCAACAGTTCAAATCCTCATCCTTCTTATTGATTTATTTATTAGATATACTACACAATGAAACAGTAATATTCACTGAATGACGACGTTTCGAATACAATTTATTGTAGTTCATGATCACATAATAACCCAACTTCGAAACTTTCGTTTTATAGTGCATTTTACTCTTTTCTATTGGTCGTAGAGCCAGTAGAGTTTTCCAGATGTCTAGGACATGTGTGTAATCATTCCTATTGCATGTATTCTTAGTTAATTCGACAAATAAAGCTTCCTTTTTAGAACTGTCCTCCCATCCTATTGTGTGATTGTGTGTAACTGCATGTAGTTTGTGCCATGACTGAGCTGTTCTCAGGATTCCTTATCTTATTAAGGTCAAATGATCTAGATTCTACTAGGATTTTGTACTTCGCTAGTCTGACTGACCCCGTTCTACTACTCTGACCCATGTATTTGACCTAACAGTCACTGCAGACAGGGTATTAGATAAACCAAATTGTTTTGTTTAATTGTCTTTACAGGATTGATCTTGTAACCGACAAAGTTTGTCTGTAATTGAGTTAGTTTGTGGGTGGTTTGAATCCCAGCCACTTTTATTTTTGTCTGCATTGCTAAGAATTCTCTGTAAGGTGGTTTCTGAGGTTCCTTCTTTGTATGGAAATACTACTGGTGATTTAAATTCCTTATTGTTTATGTTGTCATCATCCTGTACCTGTTTGACATACATACCGTCACTGTTAATATTATTACTATAATCAATAATAACTTTATTTTTACATTTTCGTACATACTTTCTGATTAATTTATTAGGGTAATTAAGTTTTAAAGCTTCTCCTCTTATATGCCTGGCTTCCTGCTTTAGATTCTCCTTGGAACTATTTCGTTTTTAATTGCCCTACTACTTAAACATTTCACCAATCGTATTTCTTACTGATATAGGGTGACTGACTGACTGACACCAATAGTCAAAGACTTTATCAGATCGATAGCATGCTTTGATTCTAACTTCATTTAAGTGTTCTACCCTATAAATTAATCACTGTTTGTTTATTGAGATTATAATACACCAGTTCAGTTGATCCATCGAAATGATGGTAAGTTATGCGAGTTAACTTGTAGAAAGCCATACTAACCAGTCCATCATCGTTATTAAATGAGTAGCATCCTTACGACAGAAGACAAGGTCTAGGAAACAGATCGTTTATTCAGAAAATCAACAGATATTTATAGATTTTTATGTACATTATTATTAGCGTTATTGTCAGCGGAAAAGCAACGTCTTCTGATTGGTTGTTTTCTTGCTGAAGGTTATTCTGTACTGCTTGTGACCGTTTCTCAGAAAGTTAAGCCATATATCTGCGAATCCTATTTGCACACGTTAAGTTTGCTGTGATTGGTTGGTGAGTTCCTCAAGGTATCTTTGTTCTTTTTTTTCTGATGACCCCGATTCGGGGTCTAACATTGACGTGAATTGTTGTCTACAATTTTTGGCTTGCAGACAGCTCTCACCACAGTAAAATCTATAAATTCAACAGTAAGAGGCTGTGTCTTATCTTAAGGTTGTATATATGTCCCTTCATAGAAGATTCTTATCAGAGGTCCTCAAGGTCCAGTGGGTTTGCTTTTAGTGATAAATTAAAGTGCATTACTTTTAGTAGTGTCAAAGTTTATCTGTGTTACTAATCTATAGTAACACTTGACCAGTTGTACCAAAAGTGATGCATATTAGTACCAAGTTTACTGGTGGCTTATCTAATTTATGAATACTGATGACATGATATCAGAAGACTGTGTGATTTGTGCTACTGAAAAGATTTATAAGTAGTAGTAGTAGTAGTAGTAGTAGTAGTAGTAGTAGTAGTAGTAGTAGTAGTAGTAGTAGTAGTAGTAGTAGTAGTAGTAGTAGTAGTAGTAGTAGTAGTAGTAGTAGTAGTAGTAGTAGTAGTAGTAGTAGTAGTAGTAGTAGTAGTAGTAGTAGTAGTAGTAGTAGTAGTAGTAGTAGTAGTAGTAGTAGTAGTAGTAGTTAGTAGTAGTAGTAGTAGTAGTAGTAGTAGTAGTAGTAGTAGTAGTAGTAGTAGTAGTAGTAGTAGTAGTAGTAGTAGTAGTAGTAGTAGTAGTAGTAGTAGTAGTAGTAGTAGTAGTAGTAGTAGTAGTAGTAGTAGTAGTAGTAGTAGTAGTAGTAGTAGTAGTAGTAGTAGTAGTAGTAGTAGTAGTAGTAGTAGTAGTAGTAGTAGTAGTAGTAGTAGTAGTAGTAGTAGTAGTAGTAGTAGTAGTAGTAGTAGTAGTAGTAGTAGTAGTAGTAGTAGTAGTAGTAGTAGTAGTAGTAGTAGTAGTAGTAGTAGTAGTAGTAGTAGTAGTAGTAGTAGTAGTAGTAGTAGTAGTAGTAGTAGTAGTAGTAGTAGTAGTAGTAGTAGTAGTAGTAGTAGTAGTAGTAGTAGTAGTAGTAGTAGTAGTAGTAGTAGTAGTAGTAGTAGTAGTAGTAGTAGTAGTAGTAGTAGTAGTAGTAGTAGTAGTAGTAGTAGTAGTAGTAGTAGTAGTAGTAGTAGTAGTAGTAGTAGTAGTAGTAGTAGTAGTAGTAGTAGTAGTAGTAGTAGTAGTAGTAGTAGTAGTAGTAGTAGTAGTAGTAGTAGTAGTAGTAGTAGTAGTAGTAGTAGTAGTAGTAGTAGTAGTAGTAGTAGTAGTAGTAGTAGTAGTAGTAGTAGTAGTAGTAGTAGTAGTAGTAGTAGTAGTAGTAGTAGTAGTAGTAGTAGTAGTAGTAGTAGTAGTAGTAGTAGTAGTAGTAGTAGTAGTAGTAGTAGTAGTAGTAGTAGTAGTAGTAGTAGTAGTAGTAGTAGTAGTAGTAGTAGTAGTAGTAGTAGTAGTAGTAGTAGTAGTAGTAGTAGTAGTAGTAGTAGTAGTAGTAGTAGTAGTAGTAGTAGTAGTAGTAGTAGTAGTAGTAGTAGTAGTAGTAGTAGTAGTAGTAGTAGTAGTAGTAGTAGTAGTAGTAGTAGTAGTAGTAGTAGTAGTAGTAGTAGTAGTAGTAGTAGTAGTAGTAGTAGTAGTAGTAGTAGTAGTAGTAGTAGTAGTAGTAGTAGTAGTAGTAGTAGTAGTAGTAGTAGTAGTAGTAGTAGTAGTAGTAGTAGTAGTAGTAGTAGTAGTAGTAGTAGTAGTAGTAGTAGTAGTAGTAGTAGTAGTAGTAGTAGTAGTAGTAGTAGTAGTAGTAGTAGTAGTAGTAGTAGTAGTAGTAGTAGTAGTAGTAGTAGTAGTAGTAGTAGTAGTAGTAGTAGTAGTAGTAGTAGTAGTAGTAGTAGTAGTAGTAGTAGTAGTAGTAGTAGTA